TAACTTATGAATAGCATACTACAAAATATTAATAAATTTGCATAATATCTCTGCTCTATCTCATGTTGGTATCGAGTCATCATGCCAATTACATAATCCATTAATGGATTTTTGATTTTTTATGATTTGGAGCCATAAATATTGTCATTTTTTTCCGGAACGATAGGAAACACTATATTGACAACACAAACGAGACTAGGGAACAGTTATCCTGTCGAATTTACAGCCAAACGGCCGAATAAACTGAACAGCTGACTCTAGTACATACCGACGGCAGCCTAAATTCAACCTATACCAAAACACAACTAAAAAACTCCCAACATGAGAATAAATGCAAAAGCTCTCAATATGAGAATACACCAAACACACTCCTAATGAGAGAAAAGAAATCAAAACACAAACACACAAAAAAACACACCTAAACAAACAAAAAGCTAAAACAAAGAAAAATCCAAAGTCTTCCCCAGACGGAGCTTCCAGCACCACCGCATCCCGAGTCACCATCTAACGCGAAACTACCGAGTGAAACCACAAAATCCACGGCCTAGACAACGGAGATCCGTACCACAGACTCGTTGGCCTCTCCTAGTACTCCACAGACGCGACCCAAGTCGGCCCACTCCACAGCCTCCCCACTCACACTCCGGAGCCGCCGCACCACTGCAGGCGCACCACCAAAGGAGCTGACCTTCACAACACCAGAGAAGGCCGACAGAGGAGAAAACCAAGGCTATGCCGCCGCCGCGAACGTCGCAAGGACCACCGTGGCGTCCGCCGAACACCGCCACCAACTCCCACCGCCCCCACTGCACCCGACAGTCCGAGTTTGAAAACCAGTGAATTTAGCCAAAAAATTCCCCTATTGATTATTTTGTAACTAATATAGCAAGCAATTCATCCTGTCTTTATATATTTAATCTTCACAGTGGATTTAGTACTGTGGTCCGCAGTAAATATTTGAGGTCAGAAAATGGTGTGTACGTCCCTCTGGGCAGTAAATTCCAAGGATAAGAACAATGTCAAAGGCATTTTCTACCTGTCAACTACCCAAATTACTGTGCTCTCTGTCCAACAACCAACTGCAATCACTATTTCACTAACATAATTGCAGTCTGCACACTCCCACATCCTTTTTTTTTTTTCATTTCATTTTTTAACAACAATAATTGGTTATAACTAGTCAAATCAATTTAACTAGTCATTTCAATTTTTACCACCTATTTTACCAATTTAAATAAATATTTCCTCCATTTTTTGCACAAATATTAATGAGACATTAATTAATAAGGAAATTGACTAAACTAACCTTATTTATTGAAAATCACTATATATTTATTGTTATGGTTGCAGCTATAAATGAGGGTATATTTGGCAGAAAATTGAATAATTTACCTTAGTTTTGATGTGCGCCTTATATTTGAAAAAAAATTGATAATTCTTTATATGCCTTATATTTCAAAATGGAGGGAGTATTTGTTATTAAACATAAATAATGTTTAAACATAAGGGGTGAATCTAATTTGAATTTCACGTGACATTTTAAGCTTTTTTAAAATTTCAGAATTTTAAAAATTTTAAGATTTTGAAAGAATTACAAAAATCCCTCCAAAAAAGTCTTTTTTTTTTTGTATAGGGACCTTCCAGTTTCCGGATCCATAAGAAACCGATTAATCCGGAATTGAGCCGAGTAAGACCACAAAGATGACAAAGCTCTCCAAAAAAGTCTTTAAAATATCTCAATTCTGTAATTGATCCTAGCCTTGGAAGCGAACCTTCTTAGGAAAGGGGGATGTTCATTTATATGAAAATAATATATTATATAATATATATATCGGGGCTTTTTAAGGTCTTAAAAAATCTTAACAAAATATAAATTGAATACATCAAGATTAATTCGTCTTTAGAAATTCTAATTGAATACACTTTGATAGTACAACTTTTAATTTATATAAAAAATTTGATAAAATATGATTTTATTTTTTAAAAAAATGCCTAGTATATCCAGTACTTTAGTCGGTAATTTCCACTAAACCCGTATAAACCGTCGGTAATTTCCACTAAACCCGTATAAACCGATATTTTAACAAAAAATATTTTTTAAAGGATTTTTAATGACCAAATTACCCTTATAAAAAAAAATTATTTAAAAAAAGAATATGAAATCCCTCATCTCTCACCTTCCAAGTTCCACCATATTAACATTTTTCTCACTGTACAATACCAAATTTTATTTATCCCCCTTTTTTTTTGGGCAAGTTTTTAATTTTGAAAAGAAAACTAACAAGAAACAGAGACTGTTTCACTCTTTCATCATCATCATCATCATCATCTGACCATCATCATCTCGTGTTTCATTGTCGTCCGCCAAAACCCATTAAAATTAAACCAATTCAATCGATCCTGCTGAGCCCAAGTCGATTAAGAGCGGCGTTTCTGAACCCTTCGTTCACGTTAGCCTGCTGTTGCTGTTGAAGATGACGATGATTGATATATTGCTGCTGCTGCTGTTGCTGTTGATGGTGATGGTGACGGCGCTGCTGCTGCTGTTCCATCATGTAACTCCTCACCTCCGCCCGTATCATGTCCTGCATCACCGCCATCAGCTCCCTGCTGAACGGCACGAAAACCTTGTCCGCCTGATGCTCCGCCGCCGCCACCGGCGCAAACCCGGATACGCCGGCAATCGGAGGACTTTGAGGCAGTTTCTCGGGGGCGACTGCTGGTACGGCGGTCGCCGGTACCGGGGTTGGTGGCGCGGTGGGCAGAATCGGCAGCAGCTGGATCTGGCCGGTTTTCGGTTCAGATGACTCGGCCGGGTCGACCCCGGGAAGGGAAAGGCTCAGGCTGGTCGCAGGCTCGGGGGCGGAAGACGCCGTCTCGATCAGAACGCCGCCGGTTCTAGCGACCGGTTTGAAAACGGGCGAGATGAACGGCAGGCTCGAGTCGCTGACGTCGGATCCGGACGGGCTGCCCGGGCTCAAATACAGGCCCGAAACTGGAACGCCCGACCCGGCGCTGACGGATCTCTTCAACGGCCTGTCGGGTCGAACCAGTAAGTCGGTGCCGTCGTCGGAGCTGAGGGAGGAGCACTTTCGCTTGAGGGTGGAGTTCCAGTGGTTCTTGATGGCGTTGTCGGTCCGACCCGAGAGCAGGCGGGCTATGGTGGCCCATTTGTTGCCGAACCTGGCGTGGGCCCGGATGATTGTCTCGTCCTCCTCCGGCGTGAAGGCCCGGTGCTCCACCTGGGGGGAGAGCTGGTTGCACCACCGGAGGCGGCAGCTCTTGCCGGATCTGCCGGAGATGGATTTGCTGATGAGGGACCAGTTCCTCGGCCCGTGCTTCTTCACCAGCTGCTGCAAGAGCTCGTCCTCCTCCGGGCTCCACGGGCCCTTGATCCGATCCATATCCATTTTTCTACAGCTACTACTATTATTCCCTTCCATTTTTTCGATCTTTGTTTTCAGAGAAACTTAAACGAGAAGCAAGATTTGATTTTTTTTTTTTTTCTGAGGATTTAATTTCTGAATTTTCCCTTTTTTTATTTTATTTTATCTGTGGCTATGGAGGACAGAAGGGTTTATATATATACGTGAGAGTGAGAGAGAGAGAGAGAGAGAAGGAGCGTTAATAAGGGTTAAAAAAGCAGAAAGCGGTTGAGTAAATTTGGGATACAGCTGGCTAACAGACACGAGGCTCTCTCTCTACACTGATTTACACACATACCATGTTACGGTTCCGTTACCGAACCATTTCATCGAGGTTTGTAATCGTTAAATTAACTATTGTTGACGATTACACGATGATGTAACGGTTATAAATCTCGACGAAATGGTTTCAGACGGTATAGCATTTTCCTACCATAACATACCATACGCTTTCATAATAGATTTTATTTTAGTGTGTTCACTCGCTTTTGTGTTGCGTAAGCTTCACACACTGTTTTGACAATCTGCCCCTTCCACTCTTTCTTTTTATGGAAAACGGAACCCATCTATTTACTCCCATAGCCCCATTAGTTTGGTCTAATTCCATTTACCTAATCTCTAATCTTTGCTGGACTCAACACTTATGTGATGATTCATATTTCATAATCAACACTTATTAGGTCTCAAAAAAGGTTTTCCTAGTATCATTTTTAATAATGCAATGCTCGTATTATTCAACTTAATTGCATCACATACTCGTTCAGTATTGCATACAAATGTCTGTTTTAAGCGATTTGGACGTTATGTATGTTATTCAGTCATGCTTAGTGATTGATAAATTATATATATATATATGCACAATTTCAAATGTATAACTTAATACATATAATATCGTACACGAAAAACATGCTGTGCTAAATTGCCCTGAATACATGAGGGTCACGCTTATGAGATGATCTATCTACGAACAACGCAAACTAACTATATCAAGGAAAATCAAAACATCCAATATTTGTAGAGATGGTGTTACCAAGTTAAAGGAGGTTGATTCTAAGTTCAAAGGTTGTCAAGAGTACAAGCACGATGTTGAATTTGACTCTGTGATTCAATGAATCCCTAAATACAAATTATATGGAATTTATCACATTAATTTCTTGTGTTCTTTTCACACTTTGTTGCCTATTTATTTTTCTTTCAATTTAATATGATTAAATGTTTGAATCAAATTTAGCATTTTGTTGTGTATTTAATTACTTTTATTTCATCTAACCAACAATGCCTTAATATTTTGCAAAAAAAATTAATTTATTTCTACATTTTCCGATTTTAACAATTCAAAGTCCAATTATTAGATTACTAAATAAATCACCGCAATAAGTTCCTTCAATTTATTGCACCATTCAAATAAAAAAGTAGATTAAATTTTGTATTAACTTGAAATAGAAAGTAAACACATAAATTAAATATACAAATAAATTAATCAAGATTTTATCCATCATTTTTAAATTAAACTGTGTTGGACACAGTCCGACCGGATGGACCGAGAACCGGTTTATATTCAGTCTAGTTCAGTTAAATAAAATATTTGCTATTGAATCCGTCAACACCAGTCGGTTGAACTGGTATGATCAATACGATTTTCTAAATATATTTGGCTATATTTAAAATTGTTTTAAATAAAATTACATATTTAAATAAAATAGAGATTTATAAATTGTTTATCAATTAATTTAAACATTTGAATTTTTAAATTGTTTAGATATTCAAGTAACACATTTTATTCAAATTTATTACAGAAAGTACTATATATATGTATATTAAAGCGTATTTTTAAAGAAGAAATTAAATTGTATGGTTTTTGTAAATTAAATTGTATGATTATATTAAAACGTATTTATAAATTAAATTGTATGATTTTTAAAGAAAAAATAAGAAAAATAATAAAACTACTATTTATGGGTTGAATTAAATGCTGACCTTTTTTTTCTACTAATTTAGTAAATATGATGACTCTTTATATAAGTATAGATATAAGCAGTGTTTAAAAAACCGTACCGTACCGGCCGGTAATACCGGTATTACCGGTTACCGTCCTTAGGTACGGTACAAAAACACACAAAATACCGGATTTTCGGTAATACCGTTTTGTACCGGTATTGTACCGTAAATACCGGGAAAAACCGGTCCAAAATACCGGCCATGAAAAAAAAATTAAAAAAAAAAATAAAAAATATTTTTTTTTTAATTTACAAACATAAAATTTAAATTGGTAGTTAGAATGTTTTATTTTATTTCATTGGTAAGTTAAAATTAATGATTATGATCATTTATTTTTTATTTTTTTTGTATTTGGTATTATATATTTTTATAAATAAATATATATATTATTATATTTGCTAGTCCGGTAATACCACCGATATTACCGGTCGTACCGGTAATACCGCGTACCGGTGGGTAGACCGGTATGGCCACCGGTACGGTATTTAAAACACTGGATATAAGTATGGATTTGATTTGGTATAAAAGGCAAAATTTAGGTTGATTTGTTATAAAATCAATTGATATGATTATAAAATTTTAGCAAATTCTTATAATAACTTGCTAAAAGATATTGATGAGAATTCTATAAATTGGTATGTATTTCTTTTTAAAATAGGAAGATCTTCAAACAAATTTTGGTTAATAAAATTTTAATTTTTAATTTAATTATGGATAATTAGTTGATAAATTAGAATAATCCTCCCTATATATAATTTCAGAATGCGCTGAGCCTACGTGGCTGCTTCTGATGCTTCGGAATCCTATTTGGCGAAGAATCATGCTTCGTAATTAGGTTTGGATGAATAATATTGATATATTAATAATTAATCATCTAGGTTCGGGTATTCCATAAATATTATTTAGCTAACTTAGGTATTTTAATATCACTTTTACTAATATAACCCTTTAATTTTTTGTAATTTTACATAGTGAGGCAATAAGTGACTAATATATCCCTGAATTTTGATTTGTTTCCTTCAATAAGCTATTGAATTATAAATATTTTAAAAGTTGATAACTTTTGTATTTCTTATCTGTTTTACATATATAATATATCAAATTAATCATCTTTTGATGATCTTCGATTTGACATCCATATTGTATATATGAAATAAATAAATTATATTTATCTTTATAATAATAAAAAATAATAATATTTATTAAAATTCATTAGAAAAGTAAAATTATTTCTCAATTGATATATTTATATGTAATTTAGTTATATATTGTAAGTTAAAAAAAATTAGTATAATATAACACAAGTAAGTCGCACAAATAAAAAGTGTCACAATAAATATATAATAATATATATATTCTTATAAAAGGTATTTAAATTTTAAAACTACTTTTTTCTTATTAATTTTAGATTTTAAGAAAAAAATTAGCAAGCACCCGTGTAATACACGGGTGTTGTACTAGTATAAAATAATTTAGAAAAGTGCGAGATTGTTTATGCGTGGGAGAGAGAGAGAGAGAGGAGAGAGAGAGGAGAGAGAGAGA